AGGAATTCGTGTCTTTGTGGTACGGGAGGGAACGGTAGGTGAAGCTGGAGGAGCACAAGGTACTACGGTATGAAATGTGAGAGGTTCGTTTCCCGTGTTGTTGTTTTGGTCCGATGATGTGTAGTGGGGCTTGTTTAGACACTTTTTCTCGGATCAAGGTCATCACAGATCTCTTAATCTCCATGTTGGGGTTGTTCGTTTGGTGGGTTTCGATGGATGGGAAGTCTGGTGGTACATGTCGCGGGTTTCCACATCGCTTGCTGGCATGCTGCTAGTTGGATGGAACGATACATTACATGTATGTAGTTGAAGATCAAAACATCGAGTTTCTGCGCCGTTTGTATCTCTCTTCCGATGCCTTGATTATCGAAAATGTATGTGAGTTGTTTTCACTTGACAGTTATTGGACTCGATGTTGTACCTTGGGTGACAGACTTGCAGTAGGGCTTCAGATAGAATTCGATCGAAGACACATGTATGCCCACCCTGTCGTCCCACTCACGATAGAGCTTCGAACAAAGTCGGAGGACATAGTCTCTGTATCGTAGGATGAGATGATCCATTCAGCGTATACAAAAAAGACATGAAAGTGCCTGATTCTTCGTTTATTCGATCATGATCGATCGCCAACCCGAACCCTACTAACCCCCAATCGACAGCAATGCGTTCTACAAGTCTCAAGTAAGTTGTATCGATTTGGATCGATATTAAAGAGTCAACCGATTTTCGAGCGCGATTCGTGCTACAAAACTCGAATATGGAAGACAGCACAGTGTTATGAGCTGCGTGTTATTCCCTCGTCGCTATCCTCGTTGCGATCACTCCTTCCCGACTTCCCTCGTGTTGTTCAACGGGCCATGTACAGTAAAATCTGACCAAACTCCATCAAGCAGGTCTTGTGGTCTAGTGGTTACGATTCTCGCTTAGGGTTTGATCAAATCAGTTGCGAGAGGTCCCCGGTTCGAGTCCGGGCAAGACCCTGTTCTTTTGCATGTGTTTGCAACATATTTTTGCCATTTTTGGTGATGTTGGTGTTGGTAGGGAAGGCGCGCGAGGTGTAAGTGAATTTGCGGCTTGGAGCGTGGTGGAAAGCGGGACTTGAGCGCTGCAAAGCTGGGGTCTTGGCGTGGCTTTTCTTTTGCCATGTCCCTCTGTATACTGTCAAGCGGTTTAGGTGTGAGTGAGAGGGTGGTTGTGGACGTGTTCTGGACTGTAAAATGTTCATTTTGACTTCATCAGGCTATCTTGGGGTTGTTTTGAGATCGGGCAGGTTTTCCGCACCCCGGTCTGAGTCCGGACAAGCAGGTCTGGCTCACTTGGTTCCATGATCGATACATTGTTTGATCTTCTCCTAATCATGCTAGATTACGGTGTTGCGTCTTTCGTCCTGTACTTCGACCGTTCTATCGCCTGTGACATGAAGCTTGTTCAAGGATTGAAGATGTCGACGCCTGATCCTTCCGCCCGGTTCCTTGTGATCCCACCATGGCCCACACGCTGTTGCCTTCACCAACGATCCCCCCAAAAAAAACGTACTTTCCCAAAAAGTCAAATTTACAACCTCACGACAAAAATCACACACTGTCGGATGAGCATACCATCAAACAGCAAGATAACGTGTTTAGTATCAGGGAATTGAACCTGCTCTCTCGCATTGTTGCGGACACGTCTTGTCCGTGGTGCCTAAAACCCCACCCACCAAAAAAATTAAAAAGGACAAAAACGTCAAAACTTCACTTACCACCTCTATAACTATACCAAAAGAATGAACAGAAAGGCAACACAGGGCTCTCATCACATGCCTCTGCATTCCACGTACGAGCTCGGCATCGGAGCCAATGCTGTGCGAACATAAACTCTGGTACCGTCACTATCTTCATCAGTCCGATATGGCGTGGCTTTTCTTTTGCCATGTCCCTCTGTATACTGTCAAGCGGTTTAGGTGTGAGTGAGAGGGTGGTTGTGGA